ACTCAATTGCTTTTGATAATATGTTTGCAGTATGTTTTTGTAATATTTTTAGGAGAACTAGCTACACCGCGGGTCCACCCTGGACAGCCTCCCTTGTGGCAGCCACAGGGCCTCCCTGGAGTCTGGCCTTCTGAGTGAACTTATCTCCTCTGCCTCCCAGTCAGAGGGCTTGGGGGCAACACCTTTCTTCCCAGAGGAAATGCACGCCCTTCTTCACCACATAATGTGTAGTACAGTATTACGGTTTACAGTGACCAAAACTGCACATCTTTGGGAAAAATTGTTGGGAAAGCAGCATTGTGAGCATGCACAGAGATTAGTATTTCATCCCCCCAGGGGTCTGTCGCCAATGTCTGCCACCCTGACCAAGAGGATGAGTCAGCATGTCAATGTGACAGTCCTAGCAGGGCCTCAAGGACCAGGCCCCTGCCCCACAGGCTGGTCCAGGAAGGAGGTCCTGGCTTCTGTTAACCACCCTGACCTGCCTCTTCCCTCAAAAGGGCTGGAGCCTGCATCAGCATGAGTGTTCAGCATCACTGCCTGGCATCCTAGGGTTCTCTCAGTACCCAGAACATCCCCTGAGTTGGTTCAGGGCCCTGCAGAGTAGCTTAGCTGCACAAGCAGTAGTAGACAGGCCATTTAAGCCTCATAGCGTTGAGTTGTCAAATAAGTAAAGGAGGGAGAAGCTCAGATATTTCCCCAGCAAGCTGTGCAAAGCCCTGATGAGGTTGCTCTGAGGTGTCTGGGTTTCTGGCGCCCCTGCACCTTGTCAAAGCCTCCCCACCCCACTCCAATACTGTGTGACCTGAGACACCCCCCCAATGGAAGAGGCCCCTGCTTCCTGTGACCTGTGCCCACAGGGCTGGGAGAACCTGAGACACCCCCCCAATGGAAGAGGCCCCTGCTTCCTGTGACCTGTGCCCACAGGGCTGACCTCAGGGTGGTACCTCCATTTTACAGGTAACAAAGTACAGGTTGTGTCTCCTGCCCAGGTGTACGCCCCAGAGCTCTCCATGGCACCAGGCTGTCTGCCTTGTCCCTCATGTTGCCCTGGCGACAAGACGCAAAAGGCTCCCTGTGGCCCTTAAGCTTGAGCCTGACAAGGATAGCAATTGCTGCTGCTGCACAGCTGGTGGTGGGACACCCTGCAGCTCCCCAACCTGAACCAAGGGTGCCCCTCCCCCTATGTGGAGTGGGCTGGCAGTACGGGGCAAGAGGGTCAACCTTGGAGCCTGGAGTCTGTGGCCAGGCAGGATGCAGACCAGAGAGGGCCAGAAGAGCAGGGAAGCCAGGGCAGGAGGGGCCGTGGGAGTGCTGGGTGCCTGTCCTTGTCTCCAGCCTGCAGCTGTTGGAAGCATCCACAACGAAGGCTCTGTTTACCAGTGGCCATGGTCCCAGTGGGAGGGTGTATTACTGCCAGGCAGGGGCAGCAGGTGGGAGGGTAGTGGTTGGCGGCCTCAAAGGACCCAGCAGTCCGCCTTTGTGGGAGGCCTCACCTGCCCCGGAAGGAGAGGTGTATGGGGTGCTTCCTCCCCCTCCACAAGGGCCTCACTGTCCCCCCCACCCCTCAACCTCCCCAGGGAACTAGCCAGGCCTGTCCCCCTGAGGAACATCAGAGGGTACCATGAGACTGATGTCAGTGTTGTGGAATCACAGGGGTGGGGGGACCAAAGCTGGGGTGCACGAGCTGGCCAAGGGAAGCCCCTCTCTTGCTGGAGCCCACCCCTGAGGCCCCCTTAACTCTCAGAGCAAGCAGACCTAGGGGAAGACCTGTGGAAGACTGGGGGCTAAGGGGACAGAGAGGGCCTGGGGGACACGGTGGGAGGTGCTAAGGGAACCTGAGAGGGTAAAAGAACAGGATCACGGGCAAGGAATGGCGACCAGCCACACCCCTCCTCCCCGGGGATCCGGCTAGGGAAACCTGAGGGGGCTGAGAAGAAAGGTGCCCCCCCATCGGGGCAGCAGTTCTGAGCCAGGAGGACGTGACTGACCACAGACTCGCAGCAGACTTGGTAAGAAATGAGCAAACCGGACGTGTCCCTGATGAGGGTCCGTCCCTCTGTTGGTCAGTGTATGCCTCGACCGACTGAGTGCGTGAGTTCAGGCACCCGAAGCTTTCTTTCCTTGGGGGTGGGGTGGGGGTTGTGGGCAGCCCTGGGCTGGAGGTGGCGGGAGGCCCCTGCCGCTTCCTGGTGTCCAGTTACCCGCCGGCGGGCAGAGCCTTCCTGTGTAGCAACCCGAGCGCAGCAGCGGGCCCCGTCCCCTCCCCGGGGCGCGCCCCCAGGTTGGGAGACAGTCTGAGCCTCGCCTCCCCCACCTGCCAGGCAGGCCTTCGCCAGCCTCTAGGACGGGGTCTGGGGCCCTGGGGCAGTGTCCTGCGCGGCTGGGCCGGGCCGCGGCGCCCGAATCTCGCGGGCACGCCCGGCTCCCTCCAGGTTTCGGGGAGCTGAGGCCCTGGCTCCACTCGGGCCGGTCTGGGAAAGCCTAGGCCGGCGTACCCGGGAGACCCCAGACGGGGGTTCTCCCTCTCGCCACCCCCAGCCCGGGACCAAACTCCTGGGGCCCTGCCCCGCGGAGGGACAGGGAGGGGCAGACCGGGGAGGGGGCGCCTGGGGACAACCGGCTCCCTCCCGCCCTCCGGCTCCAACTCGCGCCTGCTCCGCACCTGGCGAGACGCGAGGCCCCGCCCCAGCCGTGACGTCAGGCCAGGCGGGCGGAGGGGGATTCCTGCGGGAGCCGCGCTCGCCCGAGCACCCGCCGGCCGGCAGGGGGTCCCGGGCGGCGGTGGGTGGGAGCCGGCCTGCTCGCTCTGCCCTCCGCCCGCACCCTCGGGGAAGGGGCCCCGACCCCGTCCGGCCTCCGCAGACCGCTCCTGCTGCGGGAAGTCTCCGCCCTCCAGACCCACCGCTCCCTCGCGCCTTGGGTCTCCAGCGACAGTTTGGGGCTCGGGAGGTCACCCCGTCCCCACACCCACGTGGGCTGCCCAGCCCCCACGCTGGCGGGCCCTGAGTGTCCGCTAGGGGGCAGCATCGGCGCTGCTCCACCCCCACCTCTCCTCTGAACAGGGACTAGGGGAACCTATCCAGGAAGCTCCTGTATGGGGGAGCAAACACCACACCTGGGTAACAGTCTCATTTATTTGCAAAGAAGAGACGGCAGGTGACTCAGAAGTCCTCTGCTGCTGGGACCCCTTGCCCCAAGGGCACCTGGACTCCTGAGGCCAGTGGGGGGTGGAGGGTGTGCTGGGGCACCCATTCCTCACAACTGCTGGGAGGCCAGGACCTCAGGGTTATTGTAACAGTGGGCCTCTTTGGCAGTGGTCTCAGCGGAGCTGCAGGGGCTGCAGTAGGTCACTAGGCGGTCCCAGGGCTCCAGAGAATGGAGCCACAGGGGGAGCCAGGCCCAGGACCGCAGGCCGCGGGGCAGCCAGGCTGGCGGGGGCCGCTGCAGGATGTTGACCAGG